GATTAACGGGGGTCTGTGAGGCCTCCTGCTGATGGAGGGCTTATTCCCCAAGACTTGGAGGGGAGGGGAGGCGCCCAGCAACGTCACAGAGGTGCCCCTGGGGCCAGGTCAGCACTCTGCCCTTCCCCCGGCACTGACACATGGGCACATGGGCGGCTTTAGGGCAGGAGCATGCCACCATCAACTCTGAGCATCCTGTTACCTACCCAGGTTACCCAACTAGTTAGTGATGAGGCTACAGCCCAAGCCAAGAAACAGCCCTCCAAAGTTAGTGCCTTTGTTTTTCCTTTAACGCCACGGGTTTCTTCCAAGTCAGGCTTTGGCAAGGGCGGGTGTTCGAAGTTGTATGCAGCCACATAATAAACCTCAGACTGTCACACGCCTCCTTTCCAGTGTATTGCCAGGTAGTAACTTGCTGTTATTTCATTTTCAAAAACGTTGTAGGCAGCCGGGCCGGTGGTGGCGCTCGCCTTTAGTCCCAGCACTCAAAAAACAAACAACAAAATGACAGAGTTTCTCTCTGTAGCCCTGGCTGTCCTAGAACTCACTCTGTAGGCCAAGCTGGCCTTGAATTCTCAGAGATTCGCCTGCCTCTGCCTCCAAGTGCTGGGATTAAAGGTGTGCACCACCACAGCCTGGCCTTGATACCACTTAACACTTCTACGCAGTCTATGAGAGGAAGAGGAAATCTCCTTCACTCCTCCCTTAGGGTCCCAGTAGCCTAGGAGTTACTGCTTTCTATTGAGTTTCTGCAGCAATTCCTTGTTGCTGGCTTGATCATTTCCTGAGTGCTTACACTGCACCAGGTACCAGACTGCAGCCTTGATATTTCAAGAGCCCTATGCAGCAAGTAGAAGGTTCCTGCTTGACAGAGACGCCTGAAGTTGAGAACAGAGCTGGGATCCCCAGGCTTCTAACCCACTGGTCCTCACCAATGCTCTCTGAGTCCTTGTCTGTCTGACAGAGCTGCCCCTCCACTCACTTGGTGGCTGGGAATTGTTCAGCTTTCCAGAGGCCACCTCCGAAGGCTATCTGAGGCTGGGCTGTCATGTTAGAGCATCTGGGTACACATATTTGGAGGAATGCAGAGACAGATAGAGAGTCCAGGAGAATATAATAGCCGCACCCTATGAGTTAACCCTCTGGGCTAGCTAACCTTCGGGCCATTCATCAGTTTAAGTTCATTCCTATAGGAGAGAGCTGGAAGCAAAGCCAGAGGGATAGATTCCTGTATTAATCAGGAGTATGGACCAGATTTGCTATGATCTAGTCTTGTTTGAATCATGGGTAGCTTGTGGGGGAGGTAGAATAGGAAATATGTCAAACAGTAAATGGTGTTCTTAAGATTTATGTATGAGAGCAGGGTGTTGGTGGCCTTTAATCCCAGCACTCGGGAGGCAGAGGCAGGTGGATTTCAAGACCAGCCTGGTCTACAAGAGCTAGTGCCAGGACAGCCTCCAAAACCACAGAGAAACCCTGTCACAAACAAAACAAAACAAAACAAAAGATTTATGTATGTTTGCCTGTGTGTATGAATGTGCACTCTGTGTGTGCCCTTGAAGGTCAAAAGGCGGTGTCAGCCCCCCTTCCCCCAACTGGAGTCACATTGCAGATAGTTGTGAGCCACCATGTAGATTCTGGGACCAGAACCTGCTGAGCCATCTCCACCTCCTGGGGAAAATCCTTAGATGAGAATCTACTCTCAAGGCCCTAAATGCATCTTCCCTGCCTCCCTTGTTCAACAATAACATTGTATGTAACAAGCACTTTTGAGAGGATAGCAGGAGCTGTGTGATTTAACAATACACTAACTCACTCAGGAGTGTCATAGCCACCCTTGAGTATGTAACAAGCACTTTTGAGAGGATAGCAGGAGCTGTGTGATTTAACACACACTAACTCACTCAGTTACATGTCATAGCCACCATTTGAGATAAAACTGCTCTACTCTCCCTGTCACACATGTGAGACGATTGAAATTAGTGTGTGGAAGTGGGGTTGCTATACGCCTCCCTGTTCTTCAGGTTCATTATCAGCGCTTCTGCTGAAGATGCCTCTCCAGGTAGCCTGGCTCTGCCTTGTTTCTTCCTTCTGTTAGCACATGCGCCCTTCACTTTTGCTGAGGGAATATGGTCCAGTTTTCAGTAATTCAAGGGCAGCCACTGGCCTTTGACTAGACTGAGCTTTTTTGACAGATCTGTACTATAAGATTGACAGAGGGTTGTGGAAAGCCAGAGAAACTGAAAGGTAGAATTCTGTGTGCAGTAGTGAGGTAGAGCAGGGGTTTAAGAAATAGGAAGCTTTACTTTGGGAGCTCTCATATTTGACTCATCGTGTACCATTTGTTCTGTATTCATCCATCAGTCTCAGGACTGCTAGAGGTTTACCGGGCCTGGGTTTTGTTTCCTACAGAAATGACCACACCTGACCCTGTTTTTTCCTTTGTTTGTTTTCCAACTTGAAATGCTAATAATGCTGAAAGGAGTATTCCACCCAAAGGTCAAAAAAGTAATATACGACTTGGGGCTAGCTTTAGTGGCAGATAGGCTTGTGGGGGAGCCTGCTGGCCAGGAGCTGGAGGGCTGTGAGGAGTTCATAGAGCTCCAGAGCCTGTGGGGAATAGACTAGCACTCTGTCAGGTAGCAATGATGAGATATCTTGCTAATTAGGTAATGCCAGCAGTTACTGTAATGTTTATCTCTTTTTCAGATGTTTCAGAGCCTTATCAGGAATGTCTGGGTCCCCATGAAACCCTACTATACCCAGGTTTACCAGGAAATTTGGGTAGGAATGGGGTTAATGACCTTCATCCTTTATAAAATCAGGAGTGCTGGTAGGTTTATGTTTTTATTTCTTTGAAGTTGTCAGGATGGGTGTTTCAGATTTAAAAATCACAACTTACTAAGGAACTGTAACCTTTTAAAAATATTATTACCCTGTGCATGTACACACACGTTTGTGTCGGTGCCTGTGCCACACAGCACGTGAGCAGAGGAGCAGTTGGTTCTCTCCTTCAGCTATATGTGGGTCCCAGGGATTGAACTCAGGTCATCAGGCTTGTGCAGCAAGTGCCTTTACGGGCTGAGCCATCTGGCTGGCCCAGATCTATGGTCTTAGATATCCATTAACAAAAGAATGGATAAGAAAAATCTGGAATAAAGTGGCTGAAATAACCGTTGTCAGAGAACGTAGACTGAGGAAAACTGTAATAGATGTGCACAGTGAGATTTTATTCAGCCATAAAAGAAAGAAAGAAAAAATGTTACTTACAGGAAAATTAATGGAAGTAAAGATTGTCCTGCTAAAGTAAAGATTGAGATCTGCCAGATGCAGAAAGACACGTATTCCACGTTGTCTCTCAGATGCTGTGAAAGTGAAGAGGCTGTTGCAGGCAGGAAGAGACAGGCCAGAAGGAAAAGCAAGTGAGGGCAGTGAGGAAGAAGGCGTGAGCAGAACGTGATACAAGTGTGTTACATGTTATGATGAGACCTCCTACTTTGTGTGCTAATTTGGGGGAAAGAAATGGCTATGACACACAGCCATAAGTTATCTGAAAGCATGCTATAATGCTTCACCCAGTCTGTGAAGCCTGCAGTCACGTGTTGATTGACTGAGCACTTCTGTAACTGATTTTCCCTTCTGTTTTAGATAAAAGAAGTAAAGCTTTGAAAGGTAAGATTTCTGCTTCTTGGAATGGTTGGGGATTGAATAAGGCCATCAAGATATAGTAGAAACACTAAAGACCATGACGTTTGCAGTTAAGACGCAAAACAGTGTGTACCCCTTTGGGCCAAGTGATACTTCCAGCAGTGACAGAGAAATCGGGTAGCTGAACCCACCAGTAGGGCACAGGCTAGCTAGGTCAGCATGCTACTGAAATTCCTGTTTTGGTGTAATTTTGGAGGAAAGTGCCTGCTAAATTTGTGCCCTAGCACTGAGTGTCTCTTTACTCTTTCTCTGGTGGCACTGAAACTGGTCGTTTGAGACTTACACAAACCAGAACTGGCTTCCTGAGCTTTTGCAAGGAGCCCTTTCTCTGCTCTTGTAGTGACTGGCTGCAGCAGCCTCAGTTGCACAGACATGGAACTGTGCTGAGTGTTTCACATAGAAGTGGCTCCCACACCCCCATTCTGGGTGGGGTTTTTTGTTTGGTTGGTTATTGGTTGGATTGGGGCAGAAATTTATTTTGTTTGTGAGGCAAGGTCTCACTGTGTCAGTTTAGCTGACCTGGAGCTCACTTTATAAACCATGGTGAGCCTTGAACTTGGAGATCCTCTTGCCTCTGCCTCTCAAGTGTTGGGATTAAAGGTGTGTAAACCGTGCCCAGCTCCCGTTCTCTTTCGTAGCATTGAAAATGAATTTTCAGGCTTGTTACTCTAAACAGTAAACTATATTCTTCTCCAGCTCCTAAACTGAATCATTTTGTTGTTCTGTTTGGAAGGCTCCAGTTCTGCACCTGCCCATGGCCATCATTAACCAACTGCTCCCTGAGTCCATTCAAGAGGAATCCTGTTGGCTAAACTTAAGCAAGCTGTGTTAGATAAGAACATGGAACATCGCTGTACACTTACTGAGTACCATTTACCATGTGGCATTAATAAATGTATCTGAGCAGCACCACGCCTGTGACTACTCTCTGCTTCTCCCATAAGTGGTTTGTAGTGCAGCAGGTTCCATCAGAACCTCTGAGCCGCCTTCCTTAGGAAACCTGAAGAATGAGAAGCAATGTATTGCCATAAAGATTGGTTAATAGTGACTAGATGTGAACTCCAGTTCCAATGCCTTGTAGTTATTTGTTAAATTGTTTTGCCTCTGCTTATCTGACTTCTCTGATCTTGTTTTCATATTTTGGGAAAGAAGACATTAATTATTTTAAGGCTAACTTACATTTTTCACAAGGGTCAATAAGAAGGTAAGGGGAAAACAAAACATTGAATTGTGAAATGCTGAAATGATAGCATAAAATAAGCATGGCGTCACACACCACTAGTCTCAACCTAGCAGGAAGGATCACAAGTTCTGGAGTTCAGGGCCCAAAAACAGGATTTATTTATTTATTTATTTTGTCTCAAAAAAAAAGTATTTAAGCCATCGTTGGTGAAGCACGCCTTTAATTCCAGCACTCAGGAGGCAGAGGCCGGCAGTTCTCTGAGTTCAAGGCCAGCGTGGACTACAGATGCCAGAATAGGCTCCAAAGCTACACAGAGAAAACCTGTCTTGAAAAAATAAAAAATAAATAAATGAATGAAAAAGTATTTAAAAAATAGGTGGAAAGGAGCTGCAGCAACACATACCTCTCATCTCAGCACTCCTGCAGAGGCAGACTACACGTTAGAAGCTAGCCTTGTTTATAAACTCTCTAAACTCTTGAGAGGGCATGTTTGGGTTTGGGTTTTTTCAAGATGTTTTCTGTGTGTAGCTTTGGGGGCTGTCCTAGCACTCTCTCTGGAGACCAGGCTGTCCTTGAACTCACAGAGATCCACATGCCTCTGCCTCCTGAGTGCTGGGATTAAAGGCGTGTGCCACCAACGCCCGGCGAGAGCATTTTTTTTTTTTAAATAGGTAATTTTTCAAAGTTTTATTTATCATGTATACAGATATACAGTGGTCTGCCTACATGTATGCCTACTGGTCAGAAGACAACACCAGATCTCATTATAGGTGTTTGTGAGCCCACCATGTGGTTGCTGGGAATTGAACTCAGGACCTCTAGAAGAGCAGCCAGTTCTCTTAACCTCTGAGCCATCTCTCCAGCCTGAGAGCGTGTTTTTTAAGAACAAATAACATTAACAAAAAGAAAAAAGAAAAGCCTTAATATGCCTATCCAGACCCCATTTTCTGTCTGTAAAAGGAAAGAATACATTCTGAATCCATCAGGGTTTTGGAAACAGCAAGTCTTGTACCAAAAGTGGCCTATAGGTGGAGCCAGAATGTGGCCAAACTGGTCACCCTAGTGGCCTTGTGGGTTGAGAGCATAGGTGACAACTACTGTTGGGACTGTACTGACACTGGGAAACAGTGAAAGGAAGATCATGGCTTTGCTGTTTGGGGTGGTTTCACTGTAAACCAGGATGCTCTGGCATTTACTGTGTATCCTGGGCTGACTTCAGATTTAATGGCAGTCCTGCCTCAGCTTCCTGAGTGCTGGGGTTGCAGATGTTAGCCATGACATTAGCTATCTTTCTTATGTCTGGTCTAACATCAAACCAGGCATTTAGAGTAGAATTCTGAGGGGTTTTATTTGGTTGATTTGGGTGTTGGTCTTTGGTTTGGTTTGGTTTTTGTCATTACTTTAAGTTGTTTTGGGTTTTTTTTTTTTTTTTTTTTTTGAGGCAGGGTCTCACTATGTAACCCATCCTGGCCTCAAACTCATTATCCTCCTGCCCCAGCTTCCCAAGTTCTAGGATTATAGGGGTACAATTGGCATTTTAAAAAATACTTGTTTTTTTTAATGTGTGTGTGTGTGTGCATTTATTTGAGTATGTGCCATGTGTGTTCAGGTGCCCTCAGAGGGCAGAAGAGGGCATGGAAGTGAGCCACACAGTGTGGGTACTGAACCCTCTAGAAAAGCAGGAAGCACACACTTCTGAGCTGTTTCTTCAGGCCCTGCGCTCTGGTTTTCTGATGAGTTTAACTGAACAGGAATGGCAGTTAAGTAGGATCACAGTCAAGTGTGAGATGCACCTGTAGCCCCAACCAGTTGCTTCAAAGACTTACCGAGGAGAGCCATAGCAGGTCTAAGGCCAGCTTGAGCAATGCAGACCCTTATTCATTTATTTATTTATTTATTTATTTGTTTGTTTGTTTGTTTGTTCGTTCGTTCGTTCGTTCGTTCGTTCATTCATTCATTCAGTACATTTTCTAGCATTTAAAATGATGCTGCTCTTCACTTGTCCTACCAAGCCCCTGAATATGACTTGCATCTGAGAGTCACCTGATGGCCCCACCCTAGAGCTCTGGATGCCTCTGAATGAAGAAGGCGGAAACAGGAGTGGAGGACACTCATGTACAAAGTCCCGTTAGTCCCCTTCCCACCCACCCGTCTTCAGGTGACCTGATATCCCCAAACCAAGGCTTGGGAACGTCATGATGGACTACTGGTGTCCTCAAGTATCCAGGAGACTGGCAGGAGGCCACCATCTCTCCTGCCCCACAAAGGGACTGCTGTGAGGACAGTGAGGAGCCTCACAGAGACTACCTGTCCTGACAGGCTCGGGTTCTTAGGCCACAATGAAGTCACTCTGCTATAGAAATGCAGGCTTTTTCTCTTGAAAAAGGACAGAGTTGAGAGCTTGTGATTTTGTCCCCCACTCTGGCCTTGTACTGAAACTGGCACCGGTGATCTTCATGTATCTACCCAGGCAGCCAGAGTGTCTGTGAATCTCCCGAATCTGAAGAGGCACCACTGCCTCACAACCTGTGTGGATGGCCTGTCTTCCATCACCCAGAAGGGCTCCCCGGGACCACTGCTCAGCTTGTACCAGCTCACGGGCTCTTCAGGCTTCTCCCGACTCCACATAGTGCCTGCCTCTCCAGCCACGGGATAGGAGAGGAGAGAGGGTTATTTCTTTCACGTTGCCTTTAGGGATTGTTCAGATCCAATCCAATCAGTGCTGGCCTGCAGCACCCAGTAGCAATTCCCCAGTGCTCCAAGTGGGGTCCTGGGGCAGAAGGACAGACCTACTGCATCAAGCCTAAGATGGCCAAGTGCTCCGTGCTCTACGGAGCCCCTGGGAAGACTGAGATGCATACAGGAGCCAGTGGGCTCCTAGGGCACGCCTGTAAAGAAGGCCCGAAGCCAGGCTGTCACCACCTGCAGATCTGGCTCAGATACAGTGTCCATGCTTGTACAGAGTGTCCCTCGCTGGCCCCAGCCTCCAGACACCCTGAGCGGAACAGCTTGTACAGAGTGTCCCTTGCTGGCCCCAGCCTCCAGACACCCTGAGTGGAACAGCTTGTACAGAGTGTCCCTCGATGGCCCCAGCCTCCAGACACCCTGAGTGGAACAAAATCAGGGCTGTCACCCGATGGACATCCATCCATCTTCCCCACCATGCGCCTCCACTTACTTGCTGTGTTCCTGCCCTGACAAAAGCTGCGTGACAGCGGCTAGTATCCCAGTGCAACACGGAGGCTTGGGAGGGTGACCCCTCGGTGGTCCTATCCTGTCTCCCCTTCCTGCTTGGAGGTGCATTAGGCCAGCAGACTGCGCTCCGCTTGACCGTGATTCTCAAGCATTGCATTTATCATCAGACAGCCGGGCATTGGTGGCGCACGCCTTTAATCCCAGCACTCAGGAGGCAGAGGCAGGCGGGTCTCTGTGAGTTCCAGGACAGGCTGCAAAGGTACACAGAGAAACCCTGTCTCAAAAAACAACAACAACAAAAGCCATTTATCATCGGAGGATCTGTCTTCCTCCGTGGCGCAGTGCTTCTTAGGGCACACGTGATCTTCCAAACCCCAATATTCAGTTCTAAAATGCAGTCAGCTCCCAATGTCCACAGATTGTGTCAACAGCAAATGTAAAGTATTTGGAAACTTGTGAACATACACACACACTTATCCTTGCTCTTACAACCTAGACAATGCAGTACAGACTTTATTTACATAGCACTCACTGCCTTTGCATCAGGTCATAAGTCAACTAGAGATAATTTAAAGGCCAGGGGAGGGGTGTGAGCTGTGCAAACACTACACCTTTCTTTTTTAAAGATTTTTTAAAATTTTTAAGTGTGTGTGTGTATTTTCCCTGCATGTATATCTGTGTACCGAGTGTGTGTCTGGCACCCACATAGGCCAGAAGACCGTGTTGGATCCCCTGAAACCAGAGCTCCAAATGTTTGTGAACCACCATGTGTAGCCACTGAACCCTAAACCCAGCTCCTAACTACATCTTTTATAGGGGGCTCTGAATATCTGGGGATTTTGATATCTACAAAGGGTCTTGGCACCAATCCCTCAGTAGGGATCTCTCTCCCTCCCTCTCCCTCCCTCCCTCCCTCTCTCTCTCTTCTCTCTCCCTCTGTCTCCCTCCCCCCTCCCCCCTCTCTCTCTGTCTGTCTCTATCTCTCTCTCTCCCTCACTTCCTTCCCCCTCTCCCCTCAACCACACATGAATGCATGCACATAAAATAAAGATGCTTAGTGTCACTGACGGCCAGAATTCCCTTCCTGCATCCCCACCCCATAGCTGTCTCAGTGCTGACCTTGCCCCTCAGACAGTTTATTAGGGTTCTCTAGAGGAACAGAACTGATGGAATGAATATATAATATACATAATATATATATGGCTCACAGGCTGTGGTCTGGTCCAGATAAGTTAACAATGTCTGTCTACCAGTGTAAGGTCTCAGAATCCAATAGCTGTTCAGTCTATGAGGTTTGAGGCTGGCTGTCTCAGCTGGTCTTCAGGATACACAGGAATCCTGAAGAAGCAGTCTGTAATGACATGAAGGAGGGGACTTGCCAGTGAAAGTGAGAGCAAGCAGGCCAAGAGCAAGCTTCCTTCTTCCATGTCCTTTACATAGGCTGCCAACAGAAGGTGTGGCCCAGACTAAAGGTGGGGATCTTCCCATCTCAAAGATCTAGGTTGAAAGTGGATCAGTTAAGAAAAAAATCTTTCACGGGTGTACCCAGCTTCTTGTAGTCAAGTTGACAATCAAGAATGGCCATTACAGTCAGGTTGCCACTCTCTTCAGACCCCAGAGTCTGACCACCTCTCCCCTTCTTGCCCACCCAGTTCAACTGTTAGATCCCACACAGTCCGGCTCTTGAGCCGATACAAGTCAAGCTGTATCTACCAGAGCTGGAAATGAACTGGCTACATCGAGCACACGTAACAGCCTCTGAGCCCACTCCTGGCCGCCTGCACTTCCCCAGGTGGGGTATGAAAGAGAATGAGGCCCAGGACCCACAGATACCATCCTGAGATGGTCTCACTCAAGAGCTCAAGAAGGCCGGATCTACTGACAGGACACAGTGTCCTGCAAGCGTTTACTGGATCTGTGGCTGGCCCCAGAAATGCAACAGGTTGTCTCGGTTACTGTTCTAGTGCTGTAAAGAGACACGATGACCAAGATAACCTTCAGAAGAAAGCCTTTAAGTGGGGACTGGCTTGCAGTTTCAGAGGGCGAGTCCATGGCCATCATGATGAGAAACATGGTGGCAGGCAGGCAAGCATGGCACTGGAGCAGTTCCTAAGAGCTCATCTTATCTGACAGATGGAGGAAGAGAGATGCAAACAGGACCTGGCATGGGCTTTTGAAACCTCAGAGCTCCCCACCCACCACCCACCCCTGTGGCACACCTCCTCCAGCAAGGTCACTCCTCCCAACCCTTCTGAAAAACAAACATTCAAATATATGAGCTAGGGAGTCATTGTCATTCAGACCACCCCACAGGGCAAGGAAAGGATTCCTCCCTGATGCTCTGAGGGCTTCTGATTTGCTCCCTTGCTCATCTCTTACAGTGTCTGTCTTCTGCTGCCCTCCTGTGCACACCTACAGAGGCTGGCATTATGCCGGGGCCTCCATGACACCAGCATGACGTTTGCCCACATTGTCCTTCCTAGAAAGTGATTCCCTCCTCTCTTTCTGGTCCAAATAACCTGCACAGGGTCGAGTAAATAACCTTGCTCATCTTCTTGTACCAAGCTATGAGTGGTCTCTAGCGAGCCATGGACAAACTGTCCTGGAGAAGTGGTCTCCTGTGGCCCAGTCAGAGCAGGAGGCAGGGAGAGAGATGGCTTCCTTTCCTCCCAATGGATCCCTTCACCATCTCTGTCCAACATCCTCATCTAGATTGTTAAAGGTTATTCATTTATTTTTTGTGGTGTTGGAGGAACCCATGGCCTGCCACATGCTGGACAAACTCTGCCAGTTAATTGCCACCCCTCGCCCCCATGCAGTTTTATTTAATCTCTAAAGACTGACAGGGCATGTTATGTCAGCCATTTTCCCTGATCTAGAATTCCAGGTTTGGGTGGCAATAGCTAAGGTGGGAGGAGACTTTGGGACTGGGCGTCATGGCTCTGGACAGCCTATCCCATGTTGACTGGTTTCTCCCAAAGTAGCCAACGTGGGTTCATGGTGGATGGACAGACAGGTTCCTTGCCTGGGCAGAATAAACATAGCCTTTGCTGGAAATGTATTTCATGCCACCTCCCCTGCCTCTTGGGGAAGACTGACTGCAGTGGTCACTGTGTCTGAGTCTCAGGGTCCTGGTCTCAGGCCCTAGCTGCTCCTCAGTCACTGACAGGATGGCTGGTCATCACATGGGCAGACATGGCCATACCTTCCTCCAGGAAATTAGTTCAAAACTCAACAGCCAGTATCCAATTGCCTGTTAAAGAGTAACTTACACCCCATATTACATTTGAGCCTGGGAGTAAATATCCAGGGGAAGTGTTTGTTCTAGTGGGTGAACAAAGCATCCTTTGTCCATTGACTGCACCAGCACCAGGCTCTTGCCTGACAGGATCCAGCCGGCTGAGTCCTAAGGAATGCTTAGCCTCGTGGTCTTACAGATGGGCTCATTCCACAGGCCTTTTCTCTCACTGGAGTGGGGGGCTGATCTGGCTGGCACATGGTCAAGGAGACAGGGAGGTGTTTCTCTCTCCCTGCCAAGATCCATTGGGCGAGCAGGGGGTAACACAGTGCTTGTGGGGGTCACACCAGGGGGATTTGTCCCCATTTGGCAGCAGTTGTCTGTTTATCTGGAAGGAATCTGAAGGAAAGATACTGGTGACCCTTAAATGGACCCAGGTAAGCCCACCCCACCCCCACCCCCACCCCCGGTTCTCTGCACGGCCCAGAGCTGGACCGTGGCTGCTCCTCCAAGTCTCTGAGAGAACTCTGTTCAAGCACACCTATTCTGGGCCCTAGCCTAGAGTTCAGTTCCTGGAGTGAATCTGGTACATATTGTCAACAGAAAGCCCCTCAGGAGGCTTCAAAGTAACAGGGCAGAGGGGAGGAGACATGAAGGAGACAGAAGAGAAGATGGGCCATCAGTTGATAATTGATTGCTACACGAAGAAGGCTCTTCATAGGCTCTGCTGCTTCTCAGGAAAAGCTCCATATGGAAACTCAGCAGTGCCTGACTTTCCCCCTAAGCACAGTATTTCAAACACACCCTCAAAGGCCACTGCAGAGGCTGAGAAGACCGCTGGTAAGATTTGATAGGGCTGAGGCTAGGCAGGCAGGGATGCAGGCCCAGGCGGCAAGAAAGACCCACCATCTCCCCGTGTCTGCAGAGAGGGATGCAGGCCCAGGCGGCAAGGAAGACCCACCATCTCCCCGTGACTGTGCAGAGAGGGATGCAGGCCCAGGCATCAAGAAAGACCCACCATCTCCCCGTGTCTGTGCAGAGAGGGATGCAGGCCCAGGCATCAAGAAAGACCCACCATCTCCCCGTGTCTGTGCAGAGAGGGATGCAGGCCCAGGCATCAAGAAAGACCCACCATCTCCCCGTGTCTGTGCAGAGAGGGATGCAGGCCCAGGCGGCAAGGAAGACCCACCATCTCCCCGTGACTGTGCAGGCAGAGATGCAGGCCCAGGTGGCAAAAGCAAAAGCAAAAACATTGGGTGGACAGCTGTTACCTCTTTTTCAAGCCACATACTCTGCTCTTGCTGGCAAAACCACAGCCATGTTGGAGGCTGGTAACTCAGACCCCCTTCTTATGGTTCACCCTCCAGGCTCTTTGCTTTAAGACTGATGGAACTGTAGCTGTGCTGCAAGCCCACCAAGCTGAACAGCTGCCCAGATAGCAGCGAACAGAGCACAGAACTCCAACTGTTTAAAACAGATCATGAGCCATTACGCTCACACGTCACCAAAGAAAAATGTCTGAACATTTAAAAAGGTTAGTATTGTGAAAAATACAAAATAAGAAAGGAAAATAAAAAACCTTGAACCTTATTTATGTACTGAGCAAAGCCAGATCTAGTGAGCAAGGCTAAATTGCTTGACTTAATGAATACCGGTGAGCGGTCCCAGCCGCTAAGGGTTCCTGCAGCCGAGCCTGACAACCCAAGTGAGGTTCACACGGTGGAAGGGGAGAACCACTCCCCAAAAGTTGTCCTCTGAGCTCCACTCTAGTGCACCGGCGTGTTCATGTTTGTGCATGTGTGTGCATGCACACACAAATAATAAAGAAAACAAAATCATGCAGACAGCTAGTGAAATATAGCAGCAAATTAATGTTTTCTGCAGTGGCATCTTGTAAGTCCACTGGCGAAACAAGATGCCATTACCGTTTTAAACAGATCCTGGGAAGAAGAATTTTTAGCAAAGTACAAAATGAAAGCATTTTTTTCTATTTAGTCTTGTAATTCTTTGCCGTGAAATGGCTTTGGGTGTCAGTTCTGTTTCAAGTAATAGAATTGGCATCTGAGTGAGGAAATGTAATTTGGATTATAAAATTCTTGCTTTAACAAAATGTCTTAAATAGTGAAGAAGAAAAAAAAGCTTTGTGGTAATACAGCTAGCCTGGCCAGCTCCATGGTCAGCTGAGCAGCAGATCGGGGTCATAGGAACCCTCAGACCAACTCCAGAGCTCTGAGGGAGGGGACACCTCCTCTGGGGGATCCAACAGTGTGTGAATGTCAGAAGGAGAGGGGAGGCTGGGCCTGCTGGCATCAGTGCCCCTTACCGGCTGAACACCTGTGGCTTTGTGTAGCTAGTGTCCTCCAAGGACAGTGAAACAAGGTAGTCACATGGGGCCAGCCCTGGGGAACCAGGCCAAGAACATCCTGGGGATGGCTTTAGCCTGGTCAGCCAGACACCAGAAATGGAGGCAAGTCAGCTGAGGGAGGCCCATTTCAGAGACTGAAGCAAGACCCATGATCTGGCCCCTGAGTTTAGAGCTTTTAGTCTCTTCAGGCTGGCAAATGGTAAGCCAGCCTTGAATAGGGAAGCAGGTGATCACCACCCGGCACTACTCCCCCTGCTCTTCTGAGGGATGCCTTTCCTAATTAGCACCTTGGTCCCTTTGACCAAGATGGGAAACCTTGCATGCCACACCCTCACCCAGCAAGCTTGGCCTTTCTGTAACAGCATATGGCTGGCTCTGACCTGTGTCCTAGAGGACAGACACCCAGTAGAGAGGCTACTCCAAGCTTGTGAGGTATGAGGATTGGCATTTCCCCCGTAGGAGTAGGGGTGGCAGCACTTGGGTGTAGCTGGTATGGAAATGGGTTAGAGTCAATATTCTGCAGGGCAGGGCCAGTTGGGTAATTGCCCAGCTTGGCAAATCTAGCCCAGGCCAGCAGAGGAGCCTGGAGGGAGGAGAAGGAGAACATATGGCTGGATAGTATACCTCAATAACCCCTTCAGGTCTCAGAGTGCATAGTCATCAACTCTCAACCCCCAAACCCAACAACAGCTGGGATCACAGCATTCCCCAGCTTCCCTAGCCGCCGTGGGGCCTGTGGCCCTGACCG